GATTCTGAATTAACTGGTTTTAGCTCTGTGCTTTTGAACAGCGCTTGTAAATATCCACAATAGGGCTTGAATTGAACATCACAGAAATGTCAGCTATGAATATTGACAGCACATTGATAAGGAATGTCCTCATTTCTATGGATGGAAAATCTTCAGTGGCCAACGATCCCTGAAGTGCATGTTTACCTGGAAACAAACCCTTCCGGGTTCAATGTGCTGTACCTAGACGGGTGTGCATGTCATAAATGTAATCTCATATTGTTCCCAGGTATCGATTAGCTACCACCAAGTTCTGCTTTAATACAGGTTTATAAGACAGCTTATCTTTTGTCCTATTGGAACTGCTTGCTTTGGAATGGTAATGGTACCTGCTGTTAGAAATTTAATAATAAATAAATGCTATACTGACTCAACATTTTGCAGTCGTGCATATAGCCGATCAGACTCTATTCTTTACCTGAATATAGCATGTTTTGCAACTCTTTGTGCATATGTGATTCTTACCATGCTTTGGAATTGGTGGATGTGATCTGTGCTTTTTTCTGGGGGGACGTGTCCTAAACAGGGGTATGCCCTAAACATTTTGTGAATCTAAGTTTGGCCTCATTGAGCGGCAGTATTTCAATATGAGTAGGAAAATGAGAGTATCCCTGAACATTTTTATTTTTTTTAGGAAAAAAGCACTGGATGTGACTAACACAAAGCTGTATTTTGAATGGTCTCTAGAAATGGCCAGTAAGCTACAAGAAGATGCTAGGAGACCCTCTAATGGAATGTTGCCATTGTCCATTTAATCACCTTTCACACCCAACCCCTGATCCCAAAGTCACTCACAGCTCCTCGACTGCTTGAGCTGCATTGTCTCTGACACCCACCGCTATTGGCCTTGTGGCCCACACACAAGGATCCCATAATCTATGGGATGGGTCCATATTAGTATTTGAGAACCAAGCTATAGAGGTTAAAGATGGAACTACAGTGCTAATGTCCTGGGGGATAGAAGCATGCACTGCTATCACAAGGGCTGACAAGAGACGGTTTTCTCAGTGCACCATGGGTGTCTCCAGAAAGGAGTCGTGGGCGAGTCCTGCATTAACCCCATAATACAACCCAGTTCATCCAAGACACATAGGTTATAAATGGTTGCAGCTGTAGTCTTCCACCTTTTCACAAATAGGACCTACCTTTAAACCATTTGGCTCCATTTAAGGACTACTGCTCTTTTTTAAACACCATATGGTCTGTATGGTGCTGCTTTTGCAATCCATCTTCAATTAAGCCACATTCCAGTAGTGAGTTTGAGCCAGGATTTATTGGGGGGGGGGGGGTGGAGGCTATATGTTAGCTCTGCAGAACTGAGCTGTTAGTTAAGGATTTTTATTTATTTACTTGATGGGGGGCAGCTGCCCATGTGTTTGAGCCCACCAGTTGAAAACCAATGGGTAAGAGGGACCAGGGAACTTAGAACCAGGGAGACCATGTCTCAAATTTCCACTTACCCAGGAAGCTTTTACTGAGACACTCTCTCTCTCTCTCTCTCTCTCTCCCCCGACCTCGCAGGGCTGTTGTGAGCATAAATAAAGTATAGAAAAGCAAATCATGTACACCACCTTAAGGTCCTTAGAGGAAAGGTGGGCTTCATGTTAACAAATAATTAAACAAATGAAACTTTAAACACTGGCAGTTTCGCCATTCTGTTATGGAGATAGTTTTAGGTCAGAAGATAAGGATTCTAGCAGCTACTAGAAACCCATTGCATCCAATGGCAAATTTACATGTTTTACTCTAATTCCACAGCTCCTCATCTCACAGAGTGGAAAGTCACACATATATCACATACATGCATGATTCCTGCATAGTAAAAGCATACAGTGCAAAGCGGTCCATAAATTCACTGCAAACAAGTATCAGAGTCTTCTAAGTACAGAGTGTACAAAGTACAGAGACCTCAAGATGTCATAGAACAAATGCATACCAATGTAGCTCTGTTCTCAAGGAAGACAATTTTAGGAGAGGGTTGACTTGATACATACTATGCGGAGACCGGCCAGTTCTAGTGAAAATTCTCCAGCATTTTAGTGTGAATTTCTCCTAATTTACACATTTTTTGTATGCAATTTTCCCTGATAGAAACATGGTTTGCAGTGCAATTTCTCCTAATATACTTAAATTGTGTATATCATTTTCACTATTATATGCATTTTTATGCACATTTTACAGAAATACATGTCTATTTTTGGACCCATTTCTTGACTGCCGAACTGGATTGAAAAATTTAGAGAAGTGTGGATTTTGAAGGATGTGTGGATGTTTCAGTTCACCTATTGTTTCAGAAAGTATGGTTTAGGTTCAGCTTTAAATGTGAACTGAATTGACTTTCTCCCTCATCCCTAGACAAGTATAGAATTGTGCTAAGTGTGGAATGATTTTGTCCCATACAGTTTCTATGTACTTTGAAGCCTACTTTTCTGAAGTTTTTTTTTTTTTTTTTTAAGACTAATGATGAATCTGTTAGTCTTTAAGGAGTCACAAAACTTCTATTCCTCTGGAAGCAGTTAAATAAATTATGGTTCAACTGCATATCAATGTTAGCCTTTTTTTGGAGGGAAAGGCATAGGTGAAGAAACAAGCTGAGTGTGCAATTGTCTCTAAGTATGCAGCAATGCTCTGCAAAATGAATAAATGCTTGGTTTTCCAGAGGTGCATCTGGGCATGAAGATTTGACAACCATGTTGCCCATGGTCCTATGCAATAAATGTTGGATGCATTCAAAAGAATTGTGAGTGTGTGTGAGATAACTTGGATTCAAGAGCGTCAAAGAGCTTTGAGTCCTGTAATTTCAAACGGCAACCCAATAAACCAAGGCAAATGAAACAATTGGCAAAGGGTTGTTTTAATAACCCTTGTTAACAGAGGAAGCCACCCAAATAACAAACACATGCCAGTTCTAAAAGTCACATTCATTTCACAGTGTTGTTTAATAAGGCAACTTAACACGCATCTGACTGAATTACCTCCAGATTTCATGTGGGCCACAAGCACTGCAATTTTACTTCAAGAACAGCCCCTTTAAATCTCACCTACAGGGACAATTTAGAAGAGTTTAAGATAACCAGTATTTATTTATTTTTTTGCCTTCGTTATTAGAATAATTTCATCTTTTCCCAAGCTTAAATAAAAATAACAAATCATACGTATGCATTTATATTCTAGCACACTGATGTAAAAAAGAATGGTAATCCCCAGTTTTCCCTCTGATTTTTAAGTTTCTCTGTGAACTGTGCAACTTTGTCATTTATCTTCTCATTGGAAAGTTGAAAGCACTCTCATTTAAAAAAAAACAAAATATTTTTGAAACAGTGACTTTTAATAGAGATGTTATTACTTTTTCTTTCTTTTTTACTCGAAGTGAATCGGAAAAACACATTTTAAACCACTGTTGAGTTAAGCATCTTCTTTCCATGTAGCCAGGATTTTATTAAACCGTTCCTATTGTTATGAAATGTTCCCCTGGCCTTTTTTTGTGTCCTTCCAGTATCCTTTGGGCTGCTGCCTTTGCTTCTGACTGTTCAAAGGTCAGGTCAAAGGTACTGAATGGCAAACCAAGGGGATGTTGAGCGTAAATGAACCCAAGCATGGCCTCTCTGATTGATCATCTATTTAAACAGTGAGACTGTTATGCCTTTGGATAAAAATGTAACCCTGGGCAGTGGAGCCTCTGGCTGCTGATGAAATAGGCATAGAGAACTTTCTTTTGCTTGCGATGCTTGATGTGGCTCTCAAATTCAGGGAGGGCCTTCTAGGTCTTCTTCCCATAACCTCTGTGACTATCTTTCCCCACGCTGAAACATGTCTCTATGATCCAGTGCTTTTCATAGAGTATATTGGTGAAGTGCTGCTGTATGAAAACAGGGAGAAGAAAGTTCAAAGTACATTTGCCAACACATAAAAAAGGAGGGTTGGGGTTTCTTTTTTATTAAATGTAGATTTAAAACTGGGTTATTAAACGATGACTTCACCTGAGGTTATTAAGGGAGATTAGATTTCAAAATCTATTATCTAATTCTTTGTAAATGTTTTATAATATGCATTATTTCAAAGCCGCTTTTGTCAAAAAATATATTATGCATTTTATGGCTGTACCGGTAACTGATTTAAATTTTTGGCTCTCTGGATTTTCAGCCTCTTATTATACTAAATGCAGAACAAAGGGAAAATTGAGACTAAAGATCAGTGTTAATGTTCACTCCCACCTTATGCTGGGGCATTATTTTTGCAGCTAAGTAGCTATAAAATCGCATCCGTGACATCAGCTTCTGTACTTGTCTATTACGGTCTTGTCTGACGAGACCCACCATGATGCAGTGACTGCTGTTTCAAGTTGTCCTCCCTTTTTGCTTTTGAAGATGCAAGCAAATCTCAATGAGCAAACTGAATTGTCATTTTTTTATTTTATTTTAAAAATTCAAACACTGATAAAAATCAAATGAACCTAAGGCATGAATATATCTGGGAGTTATTTGGTGAATCAAATGGATGTTGTCCTAATCATAGTTGTCAACTTTCAGATTTGAAAATAAGGGATCAGCAGCCTCACCTGTCCCGGGGACAGTCTATGGGATATCTAATAATCCGGGATAGCAGCGGTAAGCAGCGGGAAACGGCGCTGGAATAAGGGAATTTCCCGCAAAAAAAAAAAGAAAGGTTGACAGCTATGGTCCTAATCTCTTGTTAGATTTTCAGTGTCTCAGCCTCAGGTCTGGCCCTACCGTTAGGCGGAATGAGGCAGCCACCTCAGACCGTGGTTTTGGAGTGTTATGATAACCACCCAGCCCTGAAGCTCAGTAAGTGACCTTGGGCCAGTCACAGTCTCTCATCACAACCTACTTCACAGGGTTGTTGTGAGGAGGGAGGCATGCCTAGAGCTTCTTGGAGTAAAGGTGGGATATAAATGTTACTATTGTTTCAGAAGGTTTATTGCCACAACAAACAGGGATGTTGGAAGCCACCCACAGTGGCTGGGGCAGCCCAGTCAAATGGGCATTACATCATCATCATCATTATTGTTATTGTTATTGTTATTAGAATGCTTCCACAATTAACATATTTTTAATCCAGTATAACATACCCTCCAACATTTCTCCAGTGAAAATAGGGACGTCCTATCCCATAACAACAACAAAAATAATTTTGTTATTTATACCCTGCCTATCAGACTGGGTTGCCCCAGCTACTCTGGGCAGCTTCCAACATATATAAAAACCATAATAAAACATTAAACATTAAAAGAAATCTTCCTTATACAGGGCTGCCTTCAGATGTCTTCTAAAGGTTGTATAGCCAACTTATCTCCTTAGCTCAGAGGTCGCATAACTCCATATCCTCCAACATTTCTCCGATAAAAATAGGGACACCCTAAGGTAAAGCAGGGCATTCCTGGATCAAATCAGAAACCGAGATGGCTTCTGTAAATCTGGGACTATCCCTGGAAAATAGGGGCACTTGGAGGCTCTGGTATAACGGAAATAGTCATTATTCAGAAGAAGCAGCTGGGTGAATATATAGGAACAGTGCTTTTTTCTGGGGGGACGCAGCGGTACGCATACCCCTAAACATTTTGTGAATCTAATGGGAGAAGAAACTAAATTTTTAAAAAATTAAAAACTGTTTCTTCTCTAGCACGGTGAATTGTCAGTTCTGTTGCTACCCCCGATGGCAGCCTCATTTCCTGTTACAGTGTTTAATGTGTGAAGTAGGAGTTGGAATCTAGCACGGTGATTGGTCAGTTTCGTTAATACCACCTCCGATGGCGGCTTCCTTTCCTTTCCCAGTGTAATGCATGTTCTTTGTATTTTTGTCCATTTACTGTATTTATAGTTGAACTATAAAATGGTGATTTTCTTGAGTCAAAATGAGAGTACCCCTAAACTTTTTTTAAGGAAAAAAAGCACTGTATAGGAAGGAGAAGGATGTTCTTTCTGGACAAGATGTATACAGTGGTACCATGGGTTAAATACGCTTCAGGTTACATACGCTTCAGGTTACATACGCTTCAGGTTACAGACTCCGCTAACCCAGAAATAGTGCTCCAGGTTAAGAACTTTGCTTCAGGATGAGAACAGAAAGCGTGCTCCGGTGGCACAGCAGCAGCAGAAGGCCCCATTAGCTAAAGTGGTGATTCAGGTTAAGAACAGTTTCAGGTTAAGTAAGAACCTCCGGAACGAATTAAGTACTTAACCTGAGGTACCACTGTACTAACTTTCCCCTCCTAACATTCCTAATTCATAAATTAGAACAATTCAAATAAGCTTTCCTTGCTATTACAAAGAGATTTACAGCAATCTACAAAAGCCTGCTGTGGTCTGTACTCAAGATCAGATTGCAAATAAATAAATATTGTGGTTTACTTTTTCATTGCATCTCAATCAGCCGAAGTGGAGGCAAAGCAGTTTGCACTACCAAACCCACTTGAGTCTCCAGGGATGGTAGCTGATCCAGAAATTGCCCAAAGCTAGGCACCTGTTTCTTCTGAGGGCACGTAACCCCATTCAGAGCAGGACAATTCCCCACCCAGTCTAGGGAGGCACCCACCAACAACGCTTCCATCTTATCTGAACTGGCACATCCAGTGCAACTGCCAGGCTTCAGAGGATCTACCCACCACAGTAGGTTGCCAGAAATGGATAAGACAAGGAAAGTTCTTACCAACACTGTTTATTCAATATTCACAGAGAGAGGCTCAGAAATGCAGCCTCTTGGAGTAATGGTGTTGCTCCGAGTAACTCTCCACCCCTCTTCTCTCCTGCTTCCTCATTCATCATCAGCATCACCTCCTCTACGGTTGCCGCTTACGGCCATCTGTCTTTGAGTCCTTTGCTCTCCTACTTTCAATGCTCACCAGGTTCTGGGAGAGGTGGGTTCTGGAATACTTTCTAGTGATAACGTGTCAGCCAGCTGCTCTGGCTCTGCCTCTTCCTCTTCCTCTCCCATTATTTCCCAACTTTTCCCCTCACCTGCCTCTGAGCTGTGACCTCCCACAAACCCCTGTTGTAAATCTATACTGTCTTCCTCTTCTCTGGAAGGGTCAGGCTGGGGAGGCAGTCTCCACCATTCCTCCTCAGTTCAGTCCTTGACATCCACACCTGCAGATGTAAAGGAGAAACAGAAATGTGTATCATCAGCATCTTGCTGACCGCACACCCTAAAACCCAGTGGTTTCAGGTACATATTAAAAAGCATGCGGGATAAAATTGTACCTTGTGGACTTGTGACTTTTCCCATAATTTCTGAGAATGTGACCCTCAAGGTGAAAAATGTTCTCCATCCCTGTGACAAACTTCTTCTTCTAAAAGATTGGTTGATCTTTTCATTCTATTATCTCATTCTTTTTTTAAAAAAAAACTGCCTCAGTTTTCACCCACCCTCTTTTATTTACCCTTTCTGTCCATTCCCCCCACCCACAGAGTTGTATAACAGAGATGGACTGTGTCCTTTCCTCATTTTGAGGCACCTGTGATCAAAAAAATATGAGGATTTTATTCAGAGAGAGGGAGAAATGAAATGATAATTTAGGTATCGTCATTGAATGACCTTCCTAAGTGATGAAGAAATGATTGGCAAACCTTGTATGGAATATCTTACACCAGCTGATTAAAAAGAGGAGATGAAATCAAATGAACTATCATAATAATACAATTCACTGCTAGGAAGATGAAATGAAAAATAAGACAGAGAAAGATTTTTTAAAAATCCCAATACACAGCTTTTTATTGTGCTTTGATCCTGTTTTCATTAACCATGGGAGACAGTGACTATTAGGGGTTTCCAAAGAAGGGCATTTTGCAAGCAACACTTCAGTAATAATGGTTATAAAACCACATTTTTAATAGGCTTAGAATTGCTTTTCTTTTAACAATTTTTGTGCTCTTTTTATTTTTTTTACAAAGTCTCCGACTAACTTTTCCCAATTTGTAATTTTACATCTCTATGCTCAGGCTGGTATTCTGTCAAGTCTCATCTGTTTCTCTGTCAATGGAGATACTATTTTAAAATAAATAAATCACAAAGTTTTGCTTTATCAAATTCTATATTGGATTCAGAACCCAGACTGAACTGGGGAGTCTCCAAAGTGCTTCAGCCTGAATCTGGCTGTCTCCTGATGCACCAAATCAGGATCTGAACTGGATCCTGTGGCCATTCCTAGAATTTATGCCTTTCCATGGTTTTTGTACTCATTCTATGTTGGAATACATTCAGGCATGCACATGCTTCTTTCATGGTCATCAGTGGCAGCAAGAACAGTAGATGGTGGGTGATTGTCTTTCCAGCCTTGTAATATCAGTCTCTGAGCCACCATAAGAGCTCTCAGAATCCACTTTTGTTGTTGTCCATCTGTTAGTTATAGCACTAAAAGCTAAAGGTAAAGGGACCCCTGACTATTAGGTCCAGTCGTGACCGACTCTGGGGTTGTGGCGCTCATCTTGGTTTTTTTTAAATGATATTTATTAAGAGTTTTAAAGTTACAGAAAAAACAGAGAAGAAAAAGAAAGAGAAAAAAACAAAAGAAAAACAAACCACAATCAAACAATACAAATTGATAAAAATCAAAATCAAAAAATAAGAACAATGCACGTAACAGAACACAATCAAAAAGCAATCGGTAATGGCGGACTCCCTCTGATCCGGAGGGACCAGCTCCACGGAAAACGGGTCTTTCCCGCTACGGCAAAGCAGGGGACCCTTTCAAAAATCACAGGCGGATGAAGCCTGTGACCATGGGACTCAGCGGGCACCTTTAGCGCCCCCCCAACCCGTAAAGGAACCCATTTACGGGCTCCGGAGCGAAGAGGGGGAAGTGGCGCGGTGATGAGAGTCAACTGCTTCTTCCGTGGAGCGAAGCCGCACAGCCGTTGCCAGAGAGCGCTGCCTTTTTCCTGGGACAATTTGGCTTTTAAAACAATTACCCGTGAGTACTTTAATTTCGGACAATTGGACTTTGAATAATGACCTGCGAGTAGAAAGGAAAATTGGACTAAGAAATTCATCTCAATTTGGCACTGAAACGGGAAGGTCTAAACAGGAAGTCAGCCTTCCGTTTCTTGTAGATAGATTAAAGCAAAGACATGGCAAACTAGAGTTCAGAAAATCGTTTGTAAAGGATTAACTTTCATCATTTAAAATTGTTGAATCCCCTTCGGAAGCAGGAGAAGAGGGGGGATTTCCCCCCCCGGACTGTTTAAACCTGCAGAAAGAGTGTAAAGCAAAGTCATTTTCCACCGTCTTGATCCTGGGAGCGGGTGTCAGGACTGACGTTCTTTGGGAAGCTCATTGACCAGAGACAAATGTTTTTGACAGATAGTTAAAAGAAGAGAAACATAGTGATTCCATTGTTCTCCTTCGCATTTTAAAGGAACAAATATTGACAAAATATCTGAAAAAGGAAACTTTGTTGTTAGATCTGCCTTTAAAAGAAAAGAACAAATAGAAGTTCTTCCTCTAGAGGGAGCCTGTGAAACTGTTACTAAATTTGAATCGGGGAGCTCTGCAGCTGCAGCAGATTACGATCGTGGAAATAGACTTCTGACCTTGCAGAACAATGTATTCAGAAGCCCTGATGCGTGCTTTCTGCAAAACAAGTGCCCTACTGGAACAGCTACATGAGAAGATGGACTTGATGACTGCTGCGATCGGAAATTTCGGACAGGTAGTGGGTAACTATATAGAGCCCACCCAGGAATTAAATCAGGAGTGTGCTCTGACAGATCAGATGAGGGAAGAGGATGTTGTTGAACCTTGGGCGCCAGAAATGGAGGGAGCTGTGGCCCAGCAGGAACATGAGTTTTTGGATCTGACAAATGAACTTGGAAAAAGCCAGATTTGGAAAGATAAAGTTTGGTTTGGTTTGGAAATGGGGGGTTGGATAGACCCCCCTATGCAGGGATGTTTGAACTTTTCAAGTCTGGCAATGGGACGTGAGATGTTTGGGGTTGTGGGGGCTCTCAATTCTGGAGGGACTTTGAAACATGTTTTTAAATACCACATGGAGTTTAGTGTGGAGCATGGAAAAGGGATTGATTTGTCGAGAAGGGTCAAAAACACTGTTAAGTTGGAGTTCCCACGAGTGAAAGGAGCAGGAGACAAAGTAAAGTACAGGTATAAATATGAAGAAGAGCCGCGGGAGGGACATGGAAGAGACTTAAGGGCCTCGGACATAAGATTACCAGGTTAATGCGCTAGATTGATGGGATA